AAAAAATGTCATTTTTATGCTACTGTGTTTATGCAGGTATGCACAGGCCATGGCCTAGGTGTGGAGGTCATGGTCCGACTTTATTCAGGCAGCTCTCTTTCCAGCTTACATGGTTTCTGGGGATTGAGTCAAGCAGTCAGGTCTTATATGGCAAATGTATTTCTCACTCACGGACTGACCCTGCTGGCGCCTTTTCTTCACCACATTTAAGCAACTGGAGGCTCTCAAGGACCGGCTCTCTAGACTAGTCTGTTAGTTTTCTGTTGGGCTAATAAAATACTCTGGCAAAAGCGACTTAAGGAAGGGGTGTGTGTTTTGGCTCAGTGAAGAGGTAGCCAAGGTGGCAGCAGGTAGAGGGAGCTGGCCACATCGAATCCACATGGAAACCAAGCATCACAGACTGGACCAGCCAGATGGCTCAGAGGGTGAACCAGCTTGTCACCCTGAGTTCAGTCCTTATGATCAGGTGGTGGGAGGAGAGACTTGATTCTTTCATTGTCCTCTGACCTCTACACACTGGCCATGTCATCTGAACACACACACACACACAATCAAAAAATCCACACACACACACACACACACACACACAATCATGCACAGAAAAGAAATAATAAAATGTAATAAAAAATTAAAGCAGCATAGGTTGGTGAATGCTTGTGCTCAGCCTAATTTTTTTCCTTTTTATACAGCCCAGAATCCCAGCCCAGAGAATGGATCCACCCACAGTGGACAGTTAAATCCATCTCAACTAACCTAACCAAGATAATCTCCCACAGGCATGCTCAGAAGCTGTTGTCCCTGGTGATTTCCATCAGGCTGACAACTGAATGGACCACCACAGTTAGCCAGTTTACCTGGAGGGTGTTCTTCAGTTTAATTCTGCCCGTCCTGTGGATGGTGTGTGGCATCTGAGCACTGTGTGTCAGGCTATTTGAAGCAGTGCACCTGTAGAATGTCAACAGGGGACACTAAAGCGTTGCAGGAAAAATGTTACACATAACCAGCAAAAGCAATCATGTAATGGCAAACGTTCTTAAAAGTAAGTGCTCGTTGGAGGTATTTTCAGGAGCTTGGCTATAAATGCTGTTTTTTTTGTTTTTGTTTTTTTTCATAGGTGTCTTGGGGGGAGGGGGTTGACCAGAGCTATCGATGACTAAAGATACGCCAGGTAGCTAGAGTCACATAGTGTGTTGTGACAGAGATGGGGACACAGCATAGCTCTGAGCTGCCACCCAGGGCAGCCTGAGGGGTCCCTCTATCTGGAGCCCTGACTCAGGCGAAACATGACTTCAATGCAGTGAATTATAGGAGGAGCCAGTCTGAAGCAGAGTTGGTAATTTGTTCAAAGAGAAAGAATGCTGTTCAAGAAGGGAATACAGTGCCAGTTGTGGTGGTACATGCCGGTAGGATTTGCTGAAGGAGGCAGAGGCAGGAAGATCATGAGAATACAGGCACTCCAGATTTGGGGGCAAGAGCTTCTCAAAGGAGAGTCACAGTTTATGATATGACATTTAAACCTATGTTATAAACACGGGAGTAAAGAGAGAGACACTCGGGGAAAGAATAAAACACATCCAATTTTCAAGGGAGAGTTGTTGTTTAGTTTTAGTTATATATACTGTCTTGGTGGCCCTCAAACCACATACCAAAGAGACATTAAAATTACAGCCTCCCCAAAATTTAAGAATATATAATTTTTTTCTCTCTCTCTCTCTCTCTCTCTCTCTCTCTCTCTCTCTCTCTCTCTCTCTCTCTCTCTTTCTCTCTCCAGGCTTTCTCTGTGTATGTAGCTCTGGCTGTCCTGGAACTTTCTCAGGAGACTAAGGCTGGCCTTACACTGGGAGATCTGTCTGCCTCTGTCTCCCAAGTGCTGGGATTAAAGTTGTGTGCCACCAACTACTGTTTGGTCTTTTTGAACTTTTACTTGAAATACATTAACTTTCTATATCTTATATGAAAATTCATTTAAAAATTAAAAATAAATGAAAACAAAACCAAAATAAAACAAACCTTCTCAGAGAGTTCAATTATTTGAAATAAAGCACAAGAAAACCCTATAAGGAGTATGTGAGTTATAATTACATACAATTCCATATGAAGTTCTTTATTCTTTTAAAAAAGAATTATTTTTTATGTGTTGGTGTTTTGTTTTCATGTGTCTGTACACCATGTCTTGGCAGTGTACTTACATATATGCAGGCAAATCACTCATACATATAAAATCATATAAATAAATATAAAAATAGTATGGCTTTAAGAAAACCCTTAAAAAAGACACCAAGGCAGTATTCCACGGACATCCCTGCACATGTGTTTATTGCAGAAGTTTTCACAATACTGTTATGGAACCAAGGTAGGTACCCATTAACAGTGGAACAAAGATGTGGTTCAATACGGAAATGGAATATTTTCAGTCATAGATAAGAGCAAAGTATGTCAGTTGCAGGAAGTGGATGTAATTGAAGATTATCATATTACATCAGTTTCAGAGAGACAAGTATCTTTGTTTCTTTCATTTGTAGGTTCTAGATTTTATAGATGCATAAAATCATACATGCTACCGATGACATGAAAGTAGAAGAGTAACTGGGCAAACAGAGGACTAAGGGAGGTGGAGGGGATAAAACAGCAGGGACTTACCATTCCCAGACCCTTCATCGAGTAGCTGTTCAAAGCAGAAACAGGCACCCACAGCTAAACACTGAACCATACTACCGGAATCCAGTTGTGGAGAGGGAGGAGGGATGAGCAAAGGAGCCAAGACTGTGCTGGAGAAACCCGCAGAAACAGTGGACCTGACCTACTGAGAGCATGGAGACCCTAGTCTCCCTAGACCAATGTGGGTGCCAGCTAGGAGGCCAAGACAGTCTATGGGACCTCTAAGAGTGGAGCCAGTCTTTAACCCTAGAGCACAAATGGACTTTGGGAGCCCACTCCCTATGGAGGGATACTATTGCAGCCCAGATACAGCCAGGAGGGCCTGGGCCCTTCCCCAAACGATATGATGGATTTTGAAGGTCCCCTGGTGGGGGTCCTCACTGTCCCTGGGGAGGGAGGAGTTGGGAGGGTTGGTGGGGAAATGGGAGGATGGGAGGGCGAGGGAATGGGAGGAGGGATATGTAAATATGAGTGGCAATTCAAGAATTTAAATAAAAAACCAGCAGGGAATGAGTGAGAATGTGCTGAAAGTAGCTATACGCATGCATGAAAATATATTCTGAGCTTGCACGACCCGGCTCCTCTAGCCTCTCTCCATAAGGTGGCGCGATACTTTGAGCGTGGCGTCTGGCGACTAGCAGTCGCCTCCTCCCTCTGCTCCAGACCGAGACCACGGCCTGGTGAAGGGACTGTCGGGATAGTAGGAAGGGGAGTGGTTCGGGCCTGATGCGCACCGCGCCAGGTTTCCGCACCAGCTCTGCGCCCCTCGGTGTGTCCCTCAAACGCACAGCCGCGACCATGCCCCTCCACGTGAGCCTCGCCAACGGCAACCGGGACCTGGACTACGACTCGGTGCAGCCATACTTCATGTGCGACGATGAGGAGGAGGACGTGCACCAGCAGCCGCCGCAGCCCCCCGCGCCCAGCGAGGACATCTGGAAGAAATTCGAGCTGCTGCCCACGCCGCGCCCGTCCCCGGGCCACGCCGGGCTCTACTCACTACCCAGCGATGCGGTCGCCGCGTCTTTCTCCCCCAGGGAACACAACGATGACAGCTTGTTCACCACAGACCTGTTGGAGATGGTGCCCGAGCTGCCAGGAGGAGACGCAGTGAAGCACAGCTTCGTCTGCGACCCGGACGACGAGACGTTCGTGAAGAACATTATCCTGCAGGACTGTATGTGGAATGGCTTCTCGGCCTCTGCCAAGCTGGTCTCCAAGCTGGACCCCTACCAGACTGTGCGCAAAGAAGGCGCCAGTGCGAGCCCGGCCGCGGACACTGAGCCTGCGACGCCTCCAGACTGCACCTGCAACACCTGAACGCACCGCTCTGGGTCTTTGGACTGTAAGCTTCGGCCATGTTAACTGCCTCAAATTCTGGGCATAAAAGAACTCCCTCCCCTTTTCTTTTTTAAAGCTTGCCATCCTTCCTTACCCCCCCTAACAGATTTGTATTTGTTTACTAAAATCTTAAAATTTATCAATTTTCCAATGTCAACTGGACCCTTAAATGTAAATAACTTAAATAAAACATTTTATCAGTTGTATGAGATCCTAAGATATGAAGTATAAAAGTATATTTTCCTTTTAAAAGTAGATTCTTCTCTATTGTTTTAAGAAAAACAAAATAATTGGCAAATATATTGAGCCCATGCTAAAAACTTAACGTTATGAAATAAAAAAATAAAATAAAAAAACAAGGAGCTACAGAAAATACTAGTAAGTATGCTAGAAGTAAGAAAGGGGAAATTTATGTGATCAAAAGGAAACATGAACAAAAGATTGTCTAATCATGAAACAAATGAGTAAGCAAAATGAAATAAATAGACCAAGGGGTTTAAAACTGTACATAATTGAGAAATAAAATAAAAGTACCATTGAAGCATAGAAAAAGAAAAAAAACCGTGAATCACAGGAGGCAAGAAAAAAAAAAAGAATTATCGCTGTCTTCTTCATGGCCCTGTGAATGTAGAGATGTCCAGGTGTGTGGGGAGTATGGGGTCATCTGAGCTTGTGGACTCTTCTCTCTCCTACCATTTAGGCTGGTGCTGACCCACATGCGATCAATGAACACAGCAGCTGTCAGCACTTAGCCTACCAGGGGCCTCTGCTGGCCACACTTGGCTTTGCAGTCTGTGTGCTGGGCAGCCCCTCCTACACCCTTAACCTCCTCAGCTTCCTCAGTTCCTTCACCCAGGAGCAGATAAAGTTCTAGCTGAGGGGAGGGGAGGGTCTCCAAGTGTGCTGGGAGTGTGGTGAGCAGCTGGGGTGCTGAGATCTGCAGGGGTGGACCTGTCTTCCTGCTTTCAAAGGTCACCAAACTGGAGGCTGCTGCTGGGAGTCTACAGGGATCTCAGAGTCTACAGAGGGACACCAGGCTAGGCACTGATACACCCACTGGCCCCAGGCTCAGTGCTATCAACTGCCAGAGAATTCTCAGTTGACAGGTCGGCTCCAGGCAGCTGGGCTGGGAGTCCCTTTTCCCATGTGCTTCACTGCCAGATGGACCTTTTGGCTTCTCAATACCAGCCGCCTACTGTCCATAGCTGCCTCCCAAGCTCTCACCCTGGAGCTGTGTGGCAGGTTAAATCTGGGGTCCCTGCATTGTGGTGGTTCCCTGCTCCTGGCCTCCAAGGTAGATGAAATTTACATAACAGGTCCCTCTCAGGCTGGCTCCTGGCCACAGCCCTCAGAGCTGGGACACTGCTCTCCACAGCCCACCCACCTGGTCAGAAAAGCAACTGTGCTCAACAAGAGCAACATCTGGATTTGAGGCTTGTGTGAGCTGTGAGCTTGCCCTGTGGCTCTTTGCACCAGGGCTGCCTGGCTTCCCTTGGACTGGGGTCACAATGCTGGAGTTGTGCTTGGCTTTCTTCCTTTTGTTTTACCTTTCTGTAATTCCCAGTTGTCCTGTCACCACTTTTATGAATGTCTAAAGTGGGTCCTTTCTTTCTTTGCAATTGTCTGTCTGTGTATTTTTCCCCCTATCCTGACTCTTCTCCTCCACCAGGGCCCATGAAGTCACCTTCTCAGTCTCCATCCATCTGGAAGTCTCTGGTTTAGGCTTTGACCATGTTGGAGAATCACAGTAGGTCTGCTGAGCCTTTTGTGAACTTTTTCCAGGTTGCCCATTAGGAATTAGTTCCAGTCTGTTTTGTGCCTGGTCTTGTGCCCTGTGAACCTCTGGCTAAGGGTAGTCATCTGGGCACTCTGGGAGCACTTCCTCAGAGAACAAAACAAAATAACACAGGCTATGTGGCTATGAACAGACATTGATTTCACAGTTTCAGAGCCCGGGAGCAAAGGTCAGGAGTGGGCAGATTTGGTTTCCTGAGGTCCCACCTCCCGGCTCTCGGAAGGCTGTGAACCACTGTGTGCTTACACAGTGGAAGGGGAGAACCTGGTCCCCTCTGCTGGTTTAAAACCACCAATTGTGCCCCATGGGACCTGCACCTCTGAAAGGCCCCCTCCTGACCCATGTCTTTGAGGCTAGGTCTCAACACAGGGAGGGTAGGTGAACACAAACATCTGGCCCTTGTGAGGCCCTCTGTGTGAGCTTTGACAACCAAGATGGCCCACTGTCTTTCAGTTCTTGGCGTCAGGTGGTACTCTCCAGCCATCTTTGAACTTCTCAAGAATATGTAGTTTCTAGGAGTTCCCCCAGGCAGAGATGTTGCACAAAGGTGTCCCCATCTTTCTAGGGCTCAATCTGGCTCACTACTCTTGTAGTTTTGTATCTTGAGGCCTTTACCATGTGGCAGAGGCCTCAGGTGGTGACAGCAAATGATTGGTGACATTTCAGTGCTGTAACTGGAGGTTCTGAAAACCTAGGCCCACCTTTGTGTCAGTTGTCTCAGTTTAGCCTGTATTTTAGTTCCCTTTTCTGTTTCTGTGATAAAAATACCCGACTAAAGCAGCTGCCAGAGAAAAAGTTTACATTCACAGTCCAGAAACAGACAGACCAGCTCTTGGGTTCCCCTCACTGTTTCCTTTTTTGGTCCAGGATCCTTCCCCGGGAATAGAACCACCCACAGTGGGTGTGTCTTCCCACCCCCATTAGCTAATCAAGGCAATCCCCCACAGGCATGCCCAGAGTCTAACTATCTCCTAGGTGCTTGAGATCTCATCTAGTTGACAGTTGAGATTAACAATCTCACCCTGACCCAGCAGAAGACCATCACTGGGGAATCTGGGTGAGAGTACTTTATTTAGATAGTGACCCCAAGAAGTATCCAAGGCAGAAAAAGGAAGGGCTCAAGGGAATGCCAGTGGCTTTAAATGTTATCATAGAAGCTTTGTTTTGTGAAACTGAAGGTTCCCTTTGATGGGGAAGCCTGGAATACTGAGAGGGAGGGGAAGGAGGAGGAAAAGGAGGGGTGGAGGAGGGAGGGAGGGAGAGAGGGAGGGAGAGGAATGAGGAGAGGGAGTAACAGAACAGAGATCATGTTGCCCACAGGAGAGGAACGACCTTGGTGTTACTACAGGTTCTTCCTAGAGGCAGGAAAGGGTGATGTTATGAATGACTTTATGGAATACATCTGGCAAAATAGAATGGGCAAAAGATACAAGCTACTGGAGTTCAAAGTAACCTAGCAGTTGTGGGTTGAAGACCTGAGATTCCTTTCAGGAATCTGGCCACTCCCTCACTTTCACAGGAGGGCTTCTGGGAGCTTTAGTCATCCCCACACCATACTCACAGCACAGAGTGGCCAGGGTGTGGGCGGCAGAGGGAGCTGCGGCAGGAGATGCGGGGAAGTGGCCTTACTCTAACTGACATACACAACAGCCATGGAGCTTCAAGGACAATCAGAGCAGCTCAGAGAATTGGGACTATGTCCCTCTTGCTATAAAAAAGGTGAGACTTCTTGAATGGAGGGGCCCAGAGTTCAGAGAATGAAAGCAAAGCCAGGATGGTCAGGAATGCTGAGCCCCTCTTGGGGATCAGGGCTTCTTCCTCAGCAGATTGTCCAGTGTCCTGCCTCTGGCCAGAGCCTTTGCTGGGCTGTGTCACCAAACTACATGGACTTCAAACTGCTAGGTGCTCTCCACTCTCCTTCTCCCTCCTCATTTTTCTTCCTTCTGCTCCCTCTTCCTGCAGTAGAGAAATGTTCAGGCAGCTTCCTGAACTGTGTCAGTCTTGAGTTGGACGTGATTGATGTCAATGGTGCAGGATCTCCAGTTGGTTTGCAGTCTTGCGTTTTCATCACAGGAGAAAAAGAAGCTGTCCTCCCAAGGTCCTGATGCTTCTCACAGATAGAGGATTACTGAGCTCTCTGGAGAGGGGCAGTCCATCTTCAGAGGCTCCAGCCCCATAGGGTGAAGCCCTGAGAGCCTTGGTATGAACCAACTACCTCATGCAAAATCATGGCACAGAGATGGGCTGTCCCTATTGAGCCTGGCCTCATCATAGAGTTATGTGCAAATCCTGGCCAGTTATTTAAGTGATAGGAATTTTGACAGCTGGTTACTTAGCAATAGACTCTGGAACTTCATCCCTCTTTCAGTCTTACCCAGCTCAGTCTGATTTGGGAGACTGTAAAGCTGCACTATGCTATTTCTGCCATCCTGTCTACATTCCTTAGTGAGGATATCAGTCAGAAGTGAAGCAAACGTTTTCTGTCTCTCTTTGTCTGGTTTTGTGTCTCATCCTTGCTACAATCCCATTGATTAAAAAAATGATGCAAAATGGTGCAAAATGGCAGATTAGAAGCTGTCTGTGTGTGAAATTGTGAGTGGTAAGAGTCTGGGTAACAAGGAGAGAGAGAGTAGAAGAATCCCAGGAGATGTGACTGACACCCATCTATGCAACAGTCCTGCGTCCACCCAACTATATTCCCACTCATTTTTTCTTCCACCCACCGACTCTTCTCATCCATGCATTTATTACTGAGTCATCCATTATCTACCATCCATCCACTGATGACTCTTCATCCATTCACCAATCCTCCTGTCCACCTCTACTTACATACCCATCCACCCATGCATCTGTTACTTAGCAACATGGGATGGAGATGATTCTGACTCTATGGCCACACCTCCATTTTCCCTAATGACACTGAGAGCCTGATGTTTTACCCATTACTGTTTAGAGAGGAACCAAACAATGGCTTTGACCCCTTAGCCTGAATGTTACCACTGCCCAGCACCAAGACAGTTACAGGGGAGATTTTCTCTGTGGGAAACTCAGCATTTCCTACAATGGCCTTCATGAGCTGACACCTGGAAAACTGAAAGATGAATTTCCTCCCTTTCAAATGCCTGCACACTCTCCTTGTGGCATTTGTTTCCCACCAACTGCCACTCAGTCCCAGCCACTCCCA